GTTTCTTTTCTGAACGCCTTTTGCAGTGGACAATGACTCTCTATTTATAGGCAAAGTTCTTGTGGGTGTTTTAAACATTAAGGCGCCAACAGAGTTTGAATTACTCTTTGACAGAAATTCCTGGGAAGTTGTGATAACAGATAGCCTTCAGCCTAGGCTCCAGCAGCAGGCGTAGATTGGGGAGAAGTGACCTCTGAAGTGGGCGGTGGCGCGTAGACCCATGCCAGAATCTGCACAAAAGCGTTTTCCAAGCCACACGTGAATGTTCAGGAGTGGTTGGAAGCATTAATGGGAATTAAATGGTGACAAGACCTATCAACATCAATATTCTAGTAATGGAAACCAACGTTGAATCAGCAGTTCTGTTTTAAAAAGAACAGCGTAAACCATGCTCTGGCCTTGGCTTCCTGTTGTCTTAGTAAGCTCTGGAGATTCTCCTGATTTTCTGATACGTTCCTTGGATTTACCTCTGGGTCTCCTGGGCTTAGAGGTTCTGTATCAGTGTAACACCCACTCTTCTGATCTTTCATCTTCTGATTTCAGCATGTTCTGAAAGAGCCTTCAGACTTCCCTGCTTCTCTTGCATTCCTTTAGCAAATTCTGACTGAGCTTGTGTAACTGCTGAAGGGGCATGTTCTGTCTGAGGCTTACATATTGAACCACGTTTACAACTTCTGATTGAGCTGATGTAGCTGCTGAAAAGCCAACTTCTGACCACGCTGAGCCAAGCTTGCAACTTCTGACCGTTTTTATCTGGAATGGGTCCAGAAGTTCTGAAGCGCTGATTTTTTCTTAAACACTCATTTTTTTAGAGAAACGTTCTAAGTACTTAGAATTTGATTTTTCTCAAGATAAAAGCGTTGTTTTTGGAGTTCGTGAGATCATCTTGCTCTTGTAAGTGGCTTGCTTGGGCAAAAAGATAACTCAGGACTTGGATTTGTTTCAGAGGGACCTTGAAAATCCAAGATGGTTTCCTGAAGAAAGAGAGGGCAAATTTTGGGGTACAACACCACCTAACTCTCCTTGCTCAAGATTTCTTCATTTCATTGGCCTTACAAGCATCCTTCTATATTTAGGAGGCTGAACATCTGGATATTCAATTCGGGTACAAAGGTTGGATCCATTCACAATATAAATGACAGATGAATATACCTTCATGTACTATGACTTCCTATAATAAACAGGGATGTAATGCTCAATATTGAAGTTCCTACTTTTAATGCTAGCCACTGCATGAACACAGGGCAGTCCGGTTAATTCTCACTTTTTACAAGAGCACACACCTTCTTTAAAATTCACGACAAATATATCTGCATGATTTTCCATATGATGTACCTCAAACACGTGTTCAACATCCATTTTACATAATAACAATAACATTAGAGACATAATTAAAAAACATATGACATATTTATTTAATACAATCCATAAGACCTACTTCACAATCCATGAATTTGTGTAACTACTTGTTTTATCAACTTTCTTTTTGATATTAGGCAAAACAGCATCATCAGCAAGTTTCCGAAACATCATTCTATTTGTTTCCCATTTTTCCATTAAATATGTCTTGCTCTCTTCCACCATTATTACTAAGGGTTTGGACATTGACTCAAGAATAACACTGTTGAAAGATTCAGACATGTTATTGACCATAACATCACATTTATTAGTTCCTCTAAAATAAGATCTACTCCAATATCTTGGAGGTGTCTTCATCATATGTGGATATGCTTCTCCATTCAATATCCTCATCCTCTTCATCTCTCTTTCCCAGGCTTGTACATATGTACATTTAGCCGCTTTCCATATTATTTCTTTCAGAGTCTTTCCAAGATATTTTTTCCTAAAATTGTTGTATAAGTGTCTAACACAAAACCTTTGCTCAATATTAGGAAAGAGTTCATCCATGGCTGGTAGTAAACCCTTCAACACAACAAACCACATCAATACAAATTAATATAAGTCAGTTAAGTCAAATTTATTATGTTCATTGACAACATACCTTTTGTTGATCTGACATGGAGGTGTATGTGAGACACTCATTTTTTCCTCCAAGATCATCAATCAATAACTCCAAAAACCAAGTCCAGTCGTGCCTATTTTCTCCTTCCACTACTGCAAATGTTATAGGTAGCATTTGATCATTTGGATCCCTACCTATAGCATCCAGTATTTGCCATCCACATAGACCCTTAAGGAAACAACCATCCAAGCCTATTACACGCCTAGAAAACTTGAAGCTTTCCTTACATGCTGCAAGGCATATATACAACCTCTTGAAATATTGACTTTGCACATCTGAACCTTCTTGAGCTGGTTCAACATCAACCTCCACTGTGGAACCTTGGTTTGATCTTAACAACTCATGAGAGTAATCATAGATTCTGGTGTAATCTCCTAGGAATAATCCATCAACCATATCTCTAGCTTTAAACTTTGCTCTAATTGCCTTTGTTTTGTTCACACCTACATTCCACTTTTTTGTGCCTTTGCCTTTATGTCTTTAATTTTCATCCTAGGATTGGTTTTTAAGGAGTTTTATATCCTATTGGTCAGCCACTTGGTAGTCATCATTTTCACATTGTAATCTATGCTGCAACTATGCACATCATTTACCATGCTTAATTTCCAAGTTGCTTCATTTGACAATTTGGCACAATAGGCTTCCCAATCATATTCATATTTACATTTTACCTCACCCTTACCTTGTCATTTTTGCTGAACTTAAGATGTCTACCACTATGGACATCATGTGTAGCAATTGCCTCCTTGAAATTATCGTTTGAACTAAAGTACACACCCACCTCCCATTTAAAATCGGCCATGTTCTTTGACATCTTAAACATTGGAAGAGCCTTTTTGTTAACACCACAACTATCATCGCTATCACACCCACTCACTAGAACTCCACTTTCACTATCACTCCTATTATGTTCAACACCATCTCTTTCTTCATGTTGTTCATGTTCAACTAGATTTTCCAACTTATCTTCCTCTATATCATCATATCCATCAGAAGAATCATTAAAATCCACCTCTAGAGAACTATCATAGTTGAACTCACTATCATTACTACTTAGGCCATTATCCACCTCACCACTTTTCATACCATCTTTCTCAGCATCCATACCATCCTTCTCAGCCTCCAACATAACCTTCTCAGCATGTTCACCCTACATACCTAATTTCTCATCCTCCAACACAACCTTCTCAACCTCCATCTCAGCTTCATTGACACATTCTTCATGAAATTTAGAAAGCACTTCTTCAACTACATCATTGACATCGTGCTCCTCATTGACATCATGCTCCTCATTGACATTGACAATACTTTCTATATACCCAGGCTGTTCTATTGTGTGGTTAATATAAATATATACACCTAAGTGAACCTTATAAAGATCATTTATTTTTAAGGTTCCAGTATCATCAATCAATTGTTGCATCCCAAATGTCGGATCTTTGTAATAGATTGACTCAAAATCTCTATAACCTAAACACTTCAGTGACCCTACAAGCTCAAAGTAGCTCCATGTGTCAACATCTATTTTTATCTGAGAAACTTCCTCTCTTTCGTACACCCTAAGATCACCATTAACAAATTCACCACTATGATAAATTGTTAACACAATATACTCCTCCATTTCACCTAGACAATTCAAAATGAATTTTATTCAATAAACCCTATTTTCAACCACGCCCTAATTACTCAGATTAAAAACATGCATCACAAACGATTTAGCAAATAACCCTAATTTCTCATTTTGAAAAACATGCAAACAAACGATTTAGCAGAAAATCCTAAATCATATCAGAACTTATACAAATCATCAAATATCTAACCTGTTTGCAACAATGGTTCACCTTCAAATGATCTTCACTGAACGATGATTCTTGCTTTGCAGAAATGACGGTTCACCATCAAATTCTCTCTCTGAACGAATACCTTCTATCTATGAATGTTGAGTTTGTTCACAAAAGTTAAACATATACCATGTAATTGCCACGTAACATCAACCATGCCACATATATAAAAAATTTGCACGTTCACTAACGGATAAGACGAGAGGACAAACATACTCCATTTTTAAGACTTAAGAGATTGTTTTAATTTTTTAAAAGATAAGAAACTAAAATGGACCCCGAGACAAAAGTAAAAGACAAAAAAAGATATTTTCCTAAAATAAAAAAATCAAGTATGGAAATATTTAACCGGAACAGTAGTGTCTTGTCGGGTAGTAAACCCCATCCCTGTTTCCACTTTCCGTTGTCTTCTCTTCTCTTCTCCAATCACTCTCTCTCAAATCTTAACCTAATCAAATTCCACGACGGTACCAGAAAAGCGTGACAGAGACACTTAGACCAAAAATATCGCCAAAATATCCAAAATTGTCTATAAAATCACCAACTTGGATCTGTCTTGTACATTCACACCGATCTCCGCCAGTAATTTCGCTTCACTGTCACTACCACTCGCTAACTTCACTCTCCATGCAATTTCCCTCTTCCCACTGTTGAATCTCAGAGGTAATTGTTCTACTTTTTCTGGTAATTGTTACCGTTGAGCAATGAAGGTAATCTAGTTATCACTTTTTTTGGTTGAATCGATATTGACCATTGGAGAAGTAGGTTTAATTGCTTACTGCAGAATTGATTATGTAAAAACAAAAATAATTGTTTTTTTTTAAATTAAAAAAAAAAAGCTGTTTACTTTGAATTGACTAAACGGGAGAATTTTTTGTTCTGACTTATTTATTGCTAGGAGACTAGAATTTTGATCCTCTAGTTTTCGGAACCCTATTTCTACGTTTGACTTCATGTGCGAGAATATTCCTTAGATTTTCAGTGTTTTGTTCAACGGTTTTTTTATTTTTTTTTATTTTTTGCATATTGTAATAAAATTTAGAGTTATGTATATATGATGTTCTGCTGAATACTAGTCCAATATGTTTCATATGTGCAGTTTTGATCTGTGAGACTATAGTTATAATTTATCGATCATGGATAAAGTTTCATCGGACTGTCCATACCCGGGATGCTTCTTTTGTGTCATGAAGGAAGCGAATCCAAGCAAACGGAGAGCAAGTGTACTGAAGTTCTTTAGAGAGCTTCCGTGTCAAGATGATGATGGTCAGGTTCTTCCTATCAGTGGTCTTTGGAACACGGCAATGGCGCATCCGAATGACCCTGAATTCATTGAGCTGGGAATATTTGAATGCATGTCTGCTCTCATATGGAAAGGGCTGAAGAATCGACGCTGGCTTTCTCATGATCAAAATATATACATTCCTTATTATGCAGCTCATATCGTTGGTTCCTATACAATGAATATGGAAGAATTTGCTGAAAGTGCTGTACATGCTGGTGTCATTCCTCCTTTAGTTGAGCTTCTAAGAGGTAGATTGACTTGGGTTGAGCAGAGGGTAGCGGTTAGAGCTTTGGGACATTTAGCTACATATGCTAGCACTTTTCCTACCGTGGCAAGTCATGGTGAAATTCTCGAGCTTTCCATTCAATTAGCGGTGAGTTCCTTGGAAATAGTTTATTCACACTTTTACCAATATGTGGATAGAAGACTAAGTTATCACTGTGATCTGCTTACACGTGGCATGGGTGGTGTTGAAATGGAGTCTAGGAAGGCTGAGGAATGGGCTAGCCAGTTGCAATGTTGGTCCCTTCAGCTCATTAATTGCTTCGCTTTTAAACCGGAATTTCTCCCTACCATATGCAAGCAAGAATTTCTAACAAAACTACCCGGCATGTGGGGTGGGCTTGTTAATGAAAATTCACCGGCTGGTATTGGCTTATTAAGAACAATTTGTCATCAAAAGCTTGGTAGGGGACCTGTTGCCAGTTGCCCTGGAATTATTGAAGCATTGTGTAATATTGCCCGGTCTTCAGATGATTGGCAGTATATGGCTATTGATTGTCTTCTATGGTTGCTTCAAGATCCAAATACATGTCACAAGGTAAAACTTTGCATTAGCTCCTGATTCTGTTACTTATGAATCAGTATCACTAAGGAACTCTATTGATTGTCTAGGCATGAATGATTGGATAAACATGTGAACGGAAGTTAATTCTTATGCTTTAAAACTAACTTTAAAATTTTAATTCATTAAGGAAATGAAAATAGGTACTGTTATCTCACTCTCTAGGTCTTCAATTAGGCATGAATCTTCTCTTTGAGATATATCACACTACTGGTGACATATTTCCATTTCTTCTGTCTGAATAGTGAAGACTAGAATGGCAGTTTGCTAAGGAGAAAGAAAGATACAAATATTTTAGCCAATTACTTTTGTTTATTATTAACTTCAATTGAACATTTAAAGACGTAGCTGTATGTAAATGTATTTTCATGTTTGGACTCATGTTTAGGATGCCTAAACCTAGTTATGACTGCGGCAATTGATAAAAGTGCTGTCAACCATAGATAGCCAAAAATACCCGGTTTGTGCTTATTGCGGGACAATAACAATTTGTTCAAATTATGCTATGCAATAACCACTATTTGATGACACTTAATGATATCTAAGTTTGGATTCATGTTAGGTTTTCCATTTCATGTTTGGGCTCATGAATTTTCAATTCCTCCTTACTAGTTTATTGCTTTCAGTTAACCGAGCACCAATTGCTGTAGACTGTTGAGTTCACTTGAACTGGGTATTGTGAATTTTTCTGTTTCATTTAAGGCCCTGGCTTATGTTATGTAGGTGATTGATAAAGTAGTGCCTGCATTAGTAGACCTTGCGGAGATTACAACTCTAGGAGATCATAAAAAGCTTGGTGATTCTATTGTCAATGTACTTCAAGATTGCATCGAGTCGCAAGGGTCAGGGAGAAGCTCAATTAGTAGTCGCACTAAAGAGCAGATAGAGGATCTATTAAGTTCGAAGCAGAGATTAAAATGGGAAAAGAATATGCCCAAGGAAGATCTACATATTAAGCAGGCTGCAGCCCTGGTTGTCAAGCTTGAAGGAAATTCCCTGTTCTCGTCTGGAAATATTTCTGGTGCTGCATCAAAGTACTCAGAAGCATTGGCGCTGTGTCCTATGAGATCCAAGAAGGAGAGAGTTGTTCTCTATAGTAATCGTGCTCAATGTTATCTTTTGCTGCAACAACCTTTGGCTGCCATAAGTGATGCTACCCGTGCATTATGTCTCCATAGACCTGTCAACCGACATGCCAAAAGTCTCTGGAGGCGAGCACAAGCTTACGACATGCTAGGGTTAGCAAAAGAAAGTTTATTGGACGCAATCCTATTTATAAACGAGTGCTCCCAGTCAAATGATCCTGATCTCTCACTGAGGCAAAATAAAGTTCCGGATTATGCTGAGCGATTAGTTAAAAAGCAGATGCGTGCAGCTTGGTTATTTCGAGAGGCAGCTATTAAGCACGGCGGTGTCCATAATCAGGGTGATGGTGGGGATATATATGGCCCAGAGACTGATGACTCTGAATGGGAGACAGCTAGTGAAAGTGATATGGGAAATGATGGAATTGGCGATGATGACGATGGTGATTGGAATAATGACGATGAAAGGAAAGATTAAGACAAAGTGACAAACCTACAATAAAAGGTATTTTCAATAAATAATTTCCTGCAGAAATGCTTTTATCAATAATCAATATTTTCCTTTATATGGCCCTACTCCTTGCTTGTGAATATACGGATACATAGTACTGAGGCGGGTGGGGACTGGCTAACATGCCAATGGGTTTGCTGCTAGTTTTATAAAGCCATTAAGTTTATTCGAGTCAATGGTGTAATAATGCTTTTGTTTGAAACTCCCTCCAGGCATAAAGCATGCACACAACATGCAACTTGTGGAAGAAGAACCTTGACTTGACATGCATGAATGAACCTCAACTCCACATTCATGTTATCCTGCATGAAGGAAACAGAGTTTGTGACTATTCCAACTTTACATTCTGTTATTAAAAGAAAAAATTTCTCAGTCGTTTATGATAAGTGGTGAGTTGAAAGTGACTACAGTTTTTGGTCTTGATGTTTGTGGTTGAGATTTAATTTATTTGAAGCTTTCCATATTCCATGTTTGTTCTCCCCATATTTCTGTGAAGTGTAAAAAATTGCAGTTTGTAAGTTTGGAGAACTACATGTCATTTGGAGGATGTGAAGTTTAGTTTTTTTTTTGTATTTTTGTGCGGTTTGTGTATATAAACCTCGTGCTTAAACTATCTTGAATTCTTTATTTTGATTAGTTACCATTTTTGGACATATCTTATATGTGATTGTTACATTTCGGGTGGACAAAAAAATCAAGTCCGACCAATACCGATTTAACCGCGGTTCACTTTTCCGGTTTTTAGTGGCTTACTATGGGCAAAATTGGATTTGAAATATGAATCTGTCACAAAACCGAAACAAACTGCTTTCATCTTTTTCCAAGTTTTCTAGAGTAGACTACAAATAGAGAGTGGCAAACTGTTTTTAGGTTTCTTTTTTATCATAAAGCACTACCACACTTAACCATGGCAATTTTTTTTGTCGTAGTAGTTGTAGTATTAGAATAATTTAAGACAGGATTATTTTTAGGAATGTGTTGGAACTTAAGAATTACTAAGAACCAGGAATGTGTTAGAACTTAGGAATTTCTAAGAACCAATAGTTTAAGTCAGGAATATTTTTAAAAATGTCTTAAACCTTAAGAATTACTAGGAAACAAAACAGAATTTGGTTGTTCTATTATGTAGTTACAATTATCAAGTAGTTATTTGGGGTGTGAATAAAACGAGGAAACAAACAGTAGATTAGATAGGTTTGACTCGAAATTAGAAAGATTAAGATACCAAATTCTTGATAGGGGGAAAACCAAGACTCTTGAGTTTCTTAGATAGGCTAGACTGGAAATTAGAAAAGAGGTTATTTGAAAGAGAGAGACAAGATATCGAATTCTTGAAAGGGGAATTCTTGAAAGGGGAAAAATCAAGACTCTTGAATTTCTTATAAACTTCTTGTAATTACTATTAAGTAGGGGTGGCAAAACACCTCGGGGCACGACGGGGCAGTCCGTCCACCTGTCAAATAATTGCGAGTTTGGTTGAGATTTTGGACCCGTCATCCACCAAAATCCGTCACCGTCAAAATCTGTTACGTCTATTCGTTCAACTTGTCCCATCTTAAGTCTGTCATTTTTTAGGTTTAATTTTTTATAGTTTTATTTTATACTTTTATTTGTAATATTCTATTAAGTAAATTTTGTTAAAAAGATGTTTTATAAAAAATTGTTTTAAAAAATAAGTGAAAAATCTAATTGAAATATAAAAAAAATCCTTTTAATATATTTTTATAAAAAATAAAAAAATAAAAAGTAAGCGGGTAAGCACATCGTCTGCCAATCCATCATTTTGGTGTGACGAGTTAGATTTTTATATTCATTTCTATTTGACGGGTTTGTTTGTCCTGCTCTTTTTTTAATGGACTTAAGGTATAGTGGAACGGGATAGACGGGCGATATATTTTGTCACCCCCTCCCTCCTATTAAGTTTTTTTGTTTGATTCCAATCATTATCAACTGGTATCATATGGCTTCTAATTTGGGAGAGAAAATAAAATTTAAAAAAGCGAGTAAATAAATGGAGTCGTCATCAAAAATGAAATTAATGTCGTCAAAAATGAAATCAATGTTTTGTAATTAAGATGAAATGTTGAAAGAACTTAAAGATTGAAGAAGAAAACTCAAAGAGTTATGACCAACGATACCAATTTTAAAGGAAAAAAAATGATGTTGGGTGGATGATTAGGGTTGAGAAACATTTTGATGCAGGAGGTGTGTAAAGAAGAAAATCAAATTTGGAAAGTTGTAATGCGAAAATTTTACTGTGGTAATTCTCAAACAATTTTGGCCAGAAATTGATTAAGTAAATAATCAAGAACCAAAACTGATTTTGAAATTAAGAAATAAGAATATCCATGGTCAGAAAAAAAAGGAGAAAAGAAGAGAACCTTGATAAAGAAAGAGAGTGTGACTTTGTTATTTTAGATTGCTCAAAGATAAAAGCAAAAGTGAAGAAATGTTAGTGAAAAAAAGGAAATTGGAGGGGCACACCAAAGTACAGAAAAAGAAATTTTTTTATCATAAAAGAACATACGAATATGAATTTAACTGGTAGAAAGAAAACACATATGTAATTGAGAATTTCTTACATATGTTGGCTGCATTTATACCAACGAAATTGCTAGGCAAGGGTATGGTTATCTGTAATGCAACCGCAACAAAAAGTTTGTCACATTCAAGACCTTAAAGATGAAAACCAACAATACTACTAAAATAAGGAGAATGTTCTTTCCATTCTTACGAGTGAGTTTCACATTTCTGATTTAAAATTGTCTTTCATACATTTAGAGATGTATTTCGAGAGGCACTTAAAATCACACAAATTTTTATATTTATGATATTTATTTCATTTTTAACAAAATATGATCTGAAGACATATTTTTGTACGTTATTTAAATGTATTCGAAGATGCATCTCTGAGATACCTTTTATAGTGTATTGTTTTTGTTTTATTCTCTAAATTTGATATTTTTTAGACAGGCATTTTTAGGTCATTTAAGTCCAACATATTTTATATAGAAGGAGAATGTATACATTAATTGATAATAAACACTTTTTAAACAGAATTTTCTGAAGTACAATGCTTCTGTTACAAAATGCTTCTGATTTTAATATATATTGTGAAAACACATTATCCGTAGTATAAATAGTGTTTATTGTGAAAACAATGATTTTAATATATATTTGTTCTTGTAACTGATTAACCAAACTTGAAACAAATGGATGAAACAAAGAAATAAAACACCAATCTGAGGTACTGCATAAATTCACCCTTTTATAGACCACCAATTGGTTCTTGTGATGGGCCTGGTTCTATATGCAACCTTTCTCGGGCCAATACAACACTAACTAATCCAATTACTTACTTTTTTTTCATACCTTTTACATTTTATTTTTTGTTTTAATATAACAAACACTAAATGTACGTTGGTTCTTAATAAATTTTTTATACTATTTATTATTTAGGTAATATTTTATAACTACTACCATTAGTGATGACAAAAGTTTAGGTAAATCATAATTATCTTTAATCCTGCTACAAATTTGTATAATATTTGCATTTGTTTTTTTTTTATTTATAAAAACTTCATATATAGCTTATGAGGTTCAACTATTTTATTATGCTTACTAAATTCGTTTTCTATATTAATGTTGTATCATTTATCTTTATGACTAACACATTTCAATTTTTTGTTTTACGTAGATGAACAACTACAAATATTTAATGGAATCATGCATGTTGGTATTGAACAAAAAGGAGGTTATATATATATATATATATATATATATATATATATATATATATATATATATATATATATATATATATATATATATATATATATAGTGGAATTAGAAAAATATTCGTGCAGAACACACTGTCAGCAATTTTATATTTATACTGTGATATTGTTTTGAACGTCATATTAAGTGGAATCATAAATCTACTTTTATCAGGAGAAAGAATTGCATCAATTTTAGTTAAGCAATTTCAGTGTAATCATATTAAATATCCGTGTGAGCGCACGCACGGGTAACATATCAGTACCGTGTGAACACACGGTAATCATACTAATATCTACGCGAACATATAAATTATTATATTTTTTATACAATTAAAAAAAAAAAATGTCAATTGTAGTACTGACTTTTCATTTATTTATAAACTAAATCATAGTCTAAAATTTTATAAATGCAACATTAAACTTAATTCTTTTATATCTTTTTTTTTTTGAATTTTTATATAAAAAATTATATTTCAACTGATTTTCAACTAATTTTAATTTTAATTATTTATTTGTCTCATTTATTAAACTGTATAAATCTTTTTATTATTATAACTCTATCAACCTTAAAATATTTTTACAAAAAATATGTGTTTATTATTTTTCTTAACAATAGAAATTTTTAAAAAATTATAGAATTTTCTTGCTGTATTTTATTTTGATATTTTTTGATAATATTTTGATATTTTTTAATTTTTTGAATTTTCATGTTAAACTGGTGACATGTCCGCGGTCTACATCAGTACTAGTGCGGACGCACGAGTATCCAATTAGTATTAAACAAAATATGATTTGAAGACACATTTTTGTACGTTATTTGAGTATATTCGAAGATGCATCTCTGAAATACCCTTTGTACTCGATTGTTTTGTTTTTATTCACTAAATTTGATATTTTTTAGGCACACGTTATTTAGGTCATTTAAGTCTATTGTATCCCAAAATTTGCCTTCTCATTTCTCAAGAAATCTCTCATAAGATCTCCATTAATTCAAGACTGCACAAGGTTTGATCAGCTCAAGACACCTCCTTAAGCACCGACAACTCAAAATTAGGGTTTGAGTTTGTACAAAGATAATTGAACTTCTAATGCCTTATATGACTTTCATGGATTATTTTGGATCCCCAAGATTGCTCATGTCAAGTTTCAAGCTTTGGATCACACTTTTGTTCAGTCAGTTGATCAGTTGACCTAAAATCAACTATATTAGGGAAAAAGTCAATTGTGGTCAATTTGCAGTCAAACTTCATAATTTTTGATCCATATCAACATTATGAACTCATATATGTCAATTGATCAAGTTTGGATCACAATTCCTCAAAAGAAATTTGATCAGAACACCAAAAGGGCAAAATGGTCAAAATTAGAGTTTTGATTGAGAAGGCTCAGTTCTTGACTTTTGACCAAGAAAATGACTTATTGGTATAAGACATGATCTCAAGGATTCAAATGCACCATCTTGACCTATTTGCATAGTTCA